TTTTCTTTTTTAAATGCATGAGTGCACACGTGGGCGAGTGCAATCCTCTTTTCAACTACACGATATCGTCAGGAGATAAGCAGCTCCCTTGTTTTCAGAGCCTATGGCAACCTTCTAGTAAGCTCATCAGTGAAACATTCAAATATTTTATTTAGTTTCTGTGCATCAAAGTCAGAAGTCACCCCTAAAGTAGAAGCAAAATCTAAATGGAATGAAATCAGCAGTGCTGATTTTTCTAGCAGCCATGACAGGCAGGGGAAATTGCTAATCCTGATATGAAAATATTCAATATCTCTATGCTATTAGAGGAGTGCCCGAGGCGACTCCAACTGCAGACAGTGTGTGTAGGCTTACTGTGACTAAGTGTAATAGAATTCAATAATAAAAAAAAGCCATTACTGTAACAGTCTAGTGTCAATAAAATTGATACTGCTTCTGCAATCAGCTAAAAATTACAAAATATACCCAAGGGCATGCAATGGGAAGCTTTTAATTTTTGATTGACCCAGAGAATTATTTTTCCCTGATTCTGGTATTATTCTCAAAATAGTACTCCCTACCTTATTTCTTTAACTCGTGTATTTAAAAAATGAAGGCCAAAAAGCCTACAGAGGATTCATGGGGAGGCTAAGCTAAGTGCTATTTCTGACAAGGAAGATTTATTTTGTGCACTTGAAGATATGTATTTTTAGTCACACTTGCTTATGTTGTTGGTGTATGTGACCACTATAAGAACATTCCCAAAGGTGTTCTGAGTGCCTTTTGGGAATTCATAGAAAACTTTCTAACTGTTGCATCTTTGCTGTGGAATGGAATTCCGACAGTGAAGTCCGCACTGTTACTTCACAGCAATACTTCTGGGGGAAAAAAAGCCAGCTCAAAGAACAATCCCATTTGTTGCGTGTTTGTGTGCGCCCGTGCTGTGCTAACCCTCTCCAGATCGCTGTGACAGAATCTCTTCCTAAAATTATGAAATATTTTAAACATTCAAAAGGTACAGAGAAGATACTAATCACCTGTGAATCCACTGCCCGACTTATTCAGACGTTAGCACATTGCCCTGTTGACGCTTCCTGGAAGAAGGTGTGACCGACCAAGCTGAAGCTCTCTGTCCTCCCTTCCTGTTCTATTCCTCCTCTGCTCTTCCTAACCCCGATTTGCTATTTACCATTCCCATGCACTTTTTATACCTTTACTTTCTCTCTCTTATATACATACATGCATATGTATGTATCTCGAAAACATTTCTATAACTGGTTTCATAATATACATAAGCAGCTTGCTTTTTTTGCCCCACATTATGTAACTTGCTACACATATCCTTAACCTCAATTTCTGTAGCTGTCAAGCAGGGATAACAAGCCTACCTACAAGAAGACTACATGAGGCTGGTAAAGTGATTAGCCTGGTGTCCGGCCTGTAATAGGCAACTGACAGAAGTTAATTACAAAATTTTTATTATTATCTGACATACCAAGCAGTCTTTCCTGAGATCAGCCAGAGCAAATTCTTCTTGCCTTATCTGGAAATTAACTTTTACTATGAACGTCCTCCATACACTCACATGACCTAAGAACAGATCAGATGGAGGGAGCACTGTAGGCTGCTCGAACTCACTCATGACCGCACAGACACACCCCACACGCACAAGGACTATGCACAGGGACCGACTGCGACTGCCCTGCTTTAAGCCATTTCACCCACACAACTCTGTGCATTTCGCAGGTGAGGAAACAGAGGCACACGGAGGCTAATAAATTGCTGGGGATCAGAAAGGTAGGAAATGGTGCCACTGCAGGATGCTAAATGCAGGCCTGTGCTCAGGGCTGACACTTGGCTCCATCTCGACCTCTCAGCCCATCCAGATTTCTCTGTTTTCTGGTTTTGCAAAAGGGGCACGTTCACAAAAGAGATCTGCATTAGCAGAAGGCCTACGAGCCTCCCTGGGGATTTGTTGAATTATTTACTAAAAACAAATACCCAAAGCCATTAGCATTTGACAGGGGCTCACACTCAGCTGAATTGAGGCAGATATAAATATGTTGTGCAGGAGAGCAGATCTGAGGTTTCGGTTCCCTGGCTCCCACCAGTACTCATAAACAAGCAGGCACAATTCCCCCTTTACCATGAAACACTGGTTTCTTTGTGCTCAACAAAGTAACAAAACGTTATTCTCTTCCCTCTGAAATTACACCAAGGAATGACACAGGAATTTTTAAGACTGGCCTTCTACTGATGTGGCGGGGTACGTGGCAGAAAAAAAAAAATTATTGAGGCCTTTTCTGAGCGTGTTTAATCAAATGTGTAGCCACAGCTAAACAGTAAGGATTCTGTAGGATGGTTGCCAGATGTGGCGGGTTGGTGAAGTTCGCAGCAATATTGGTCAGCCCCTTTGCTAGGTAGCCGAGACCCAATGGTTTCTGTTGTTCCTTTTTCGTTTTGGGTTTTTAAAGAACACAGCTCAGACATCTTCTCGGCTTTCTAATAGCACTGGTCTGACCAGAAGGGTTAAAGCATCCCTAGGTGCAGAACGATGGAAGAAGCACAGGATACAGTTCAACCTCAGGGGAGGGTGATAAGCAACCCTTCATTTCAAATGGAGAGAGTGCAAGAGGAAGTGGGTTTGTGTTAAATTAGAAACAAGAACCTCCTCCTATCTTGAACAGGTTGCTGCACCAGATTGTACAATTTCTCTCTCTCGACCTTGTGGTGCAGGATAAAACACATCTGATCGGATCGGCACAACCAGCTTCCAGAACTATTTCCAGATGCCATCAATAAGCCCCGAAGAGTCTCATGAATCAGCAGGACTGATGTGAGCATTCCAGACACTGACCCAAGTCACCTCTCTTCTTGCCCTGGGCTCAGGTTACTCAGGGGAGAGAGGTTAAAATAAATGACAAAAGGGCATGCAATACAGATTTCCAGCATCCTCAGCAAAACATAGGTATTCGCTAATTCTGTTTAAAGGAGATAGGGAAACAGCATTTCATTTCTTTTGGCTGATCTCCCCGTCTGAATTTTATTAAACCAACCAGGATCTCTTTTTTGGCTCTCTTTTTATATTTGGTTGGGTACCTGTTTGTTGTTTTTTTTAAAGGTGTGTGTTCAAAGAATAAAACAAAGACCACCAGAGATCTAAAACAAAACAAACGAACAAACAACCTACAAAGATAATTTATTGTGTGGGGGATAAGGGAGAACCAGGGCCATGTCATTCCAGAATCGAGTTCAGCTGAGCTCCTTGTGCTTGCTAAAGGCAAGAGGAGCCATTTATTTCTTATTAGAAGAGTTCGAGGCAAGACAAGAAATGTTCCAGGTGGACTGGGTTTAGGGAAGCCAGGTTTAGCAAATAAAAACCCAAGACGCTCAGTTAAATTTGTATTGCAGGTAAACTAGCAATCACTTTTAGTATAAGTTTGTCCCGTGCAAAATTCGGGACATACTTATACTAAGAAATGATTCCTTGTATACCTAAAATTCAAACTTAATCAGTTGCCCTGTATTTTACCTAGTAATCCTAATGAGGTGAGGCTTTGTGGGGGTCAGGGTCATGCAGCAGCACGTGTTTATGGGCCACAACTTGGGACGGAGTAACATTTTTATTTAACAGCATAAAGTCATTGACGCACTGCAGCTCATTCTGCCACTGGGACCATGAACCAAATTCCTCCATCTGGAATACCCTTTGTGATGAAGCCTAGTGAAATATACCAAACTGGGGAGCCATGCAGGCCGCTCCTAGACTCTCTAGAACTCAAGCCAAGACACAAAGGATCGCAGTTGCCAGGGCCTCCCGGACAAGGAGGGTGTAGATTGCTATTGATGTTGTGGTTCAAGAACAGCAAGTCTTTGAAGGGGATTCTGACTTCTGGTTTGTGAAGCTGACTGGAGGATAAAGTTTTCCCAGAGGCCCAGAGTACAGAAAGATTTACGGGGACGACTGGAAAGGCGTAGGGGTGTGGCAATCTCTCTCTTCAAGCTTCCTGGTGAAGAACTTCTACCTAAATGTCTTCTACCTGGATATCCCAGAAGGCTCTCACTCTCAACACGCCAATGCTTAATTCACTCTCTTCTTCTCCAAACCCGCTCGTCCTCCTAGAATTCCTGTCTCAAGTGTAGACGGCACAGCAAGGCTGCAACAGCCGCAGGCTGGCAGCCTCCGTGTGCCCCGCCCCCGCCCCCCCCCTGCCCCGCCCCTACTTCCTTACACCTCAATCAACTGTCACATCCGGGGAGGCTGCCTCTCAAGTCCCTCCCCCTGCCTCTCCCTTAGTTCAAGGGGGTCAGCTGTCAGCGTCCCTCACCTCACCCATCAGCAAAAGGGTCTTCACAGAGCCCCCTCCCCACCAGCGATTTCCTCTTTTCGTCTCCTCATTGCTAGGAGGTAACTTTCTAAAATGCGATTTTGAGGATGTTTCTCCATTTCTTAAAAACCGATGCGGCTTTTCGTGCCTGTAGGGTAAAATCCAGTTGCCTCCGGGCCGGCACGCAGGTCCTTCAAGGGTTGGCATTAGTCTTTGTTTTCAGCCTCTCAACCATCACTGTCCCCCAACAACAGATGGTGGCACGCTACGGCCAGTTGTCTGCCATCTGATGCTCCTGCATGTTAAGATGACTTGGTAAAGACTGTTCCTTTACCTGGAGTGTCCTCTGCCCACCCTGCTGGTGTCCAGCAAATCTGTCCTTCTAGACCCTGCTCAAGGGGTAGGCCTGCTTCTGGGAAGCCCTTTACCGCTGGAGAGAGGTTTCTCTGGTTCCCTAGTCTGTGCCCACATAGCACATTGTGCCTGCCTTCACTCCGGCGCTCTTTATGTATTTTAACCCTTTAATCCTGTCAACAACCCTATGGGACCAATACTACTGTTATCTCTATTTGGTAGAAGAAGCAAAGATGTCAAGGGCCGGCCGATGCTCCATGGCTTGTTCAAGGGCGGCTTCAACTCAGCTGCGAAGCAGAAGCACCTGGGGAACCTTCTAGGAATACTGATGCTCATGCCCACTCAGGAACCACTGAATCAGAATCTCTGATGTCCTGGGACCTGCAGGAGCTTATTCAAACTTCCCAGGTGATTCTAATGTGCAGCCAGCTTTGAGGATCACCGAGCTACTCGCTTCATCTGAAGAAAATGTGACCAATATTGGGGAGAGAGGAGTCGGACGATTTTTAGGGGGAAAAGGGACCCAGACACTGGCCGCTGAGAGTTCCATGGGTCTGCCAGCATGCCCCTAAGTCTCCCATTAAGCATTAGACTCCTGTAGATGAGTGAAGTGCTGGGGCCACCCGACGTGTTGCTCTGCATCCTTCCCCAGAACTGCAGAGAGGACCACAGTTCTTTCTTTAGTACGTGCGTGACCTGAGATCAGGAGTGGGAAGGGGGATGGAGACAGCTCTTTTCCAACCTGAGAGTGCACTTTACCAGGCCATGAGGGAAGGAAGTGACTGAGTTAGACATTTCTGAGCACATGCACTCTGATTCTGCCTAATCTGCTCCAAAGCTAGGACCGGTCCTGTTCCTCTCTGTGCACCAGCAGCTTCTCTGCAAAGAAATCATTCCTTTGCCAAAATTAGAACGTGCAATGCACTAACCATTTTCTCTTTTCTCGAAAAGCCGTCAGAAGGCAGAATTTGACCTTAAAACTGTTCATTTGATGAGAGCCTGACAGGTATTTGGTTATGTGACATTGGCACTAGCTGCTTCCCAGGGAAGAAATGAGGAAGAACAAAACCTAGAGAAACTAGGTGCAGAAAGAATGAGGCGTTGATCCAGGATGGGGATAAGAAGGCAGGCGATTTTTCTTGGCCGACAGAAAAGACCTAGGAGAGGTGCGTAACTTCAGAAGTGTTAGTAGGAATCAAACGTGGGACAAAGATGGGGTTCATAACGTGAAGGAGAAACCCAGAAACCGAGGGGTTATAGCTGCATCCTAGTGAGCAAAGGATTCCTTGTGGCTGAATAAAGAACATCTCGTCTCTTCCAGAGTTAAACGCAATCATCAGGGCGAATGAAGATGCCTTTTAGCACAGGCTCTGCAGTCACTCAGTCCTGGGCATTTGGACCCTGGCTCAACTCCTTGTAAGTTCTGTCCCTTTGAGCAAACTCCTTAAACTCACAGATCCTCGGTTTCTACCTATGTTTAATAGTCTTACTAAAGATCTACCTCATAGGGTTGTGGGGAGGAAGAAACAAAGAATCCACACCAACAATAATAGCTAATTTTTATAGAGGGGTGTATGTGTATAAGTCATCTATTTACCTAATCCTCACAACAGTCCTAGGAAGTGGGTACTATTATCATGCCCATTTCACAGATGAGGAAACTGAGGAACAGAGAAATTAAGTGACTTCCCCAAGTCACTGTATTGTGACTGTATCTGTATTATCATACAGATAATACATGGCCAAGCCAGATTTTGAACCAAGGCAATCTGACACCAGAATCTAAGCTCCTAACTACTACACTATGCTCAAAATTCTCTATATGTATTAGCAGACAGAATAAGGACAAATGTCAGAGGTATGAAAAATGGAAATGCCAGGACTCCTAAGTGACAGCTTCCAAACAGGGAGTCCCCGGATCCCTCAGGTACCAGGAGTGGGATTTAGATCTAGACTCCCTCTTTATCAGATCCTTTTCTTTGCATGCTCTGGCTGGCTGAAGAGCCTTGTATGGAGACACAAAAGGCCCCCTTTGATGGCCTCGATCACCAACAGCTTCCCTGACTCAGCAGACAGAGAGGAGAGGAACACCCAGCTGAGTCATTTCTCATCTAACCACATCTCTCAACTGGTCGCGCCACCCCTCCACCCCCGGCCAAGTCCCAGCATTTTTGAAACCCTGAATTGTATCTGGGTTGACAATCAATAAAGCTTTTAAAAACAGAGATGGCTCTTATTCTGGAGAGTTCTAAGTGCTGATGAGCAGAGCTAAAAACGTGGAAAAAAAATTAATGACCCTCAACTATGAACATCCCCAAATAGTTTGTCCATTTCCTGTGCAATTGGGTGCTTATCAGTCAGACTGGCACACAACCAATCTTCATTTTTTAAACTGTCATCTTCCCATAATATCATGTTCACCTCTAACTTCTAAGGAATGAATTAAATTACACCACTGTGAACTGTAATATCCGAACCTCCAAGTTTCAAAGACCTTTTAGTACTTCTTTGTTTTGGTATGTTCTCATTTTTTTCCACCAAGCCCAGTATTTGCTTACTCAGTCACCTGTTTAGAATAAGATATTCCTTCAAAACTACTGTCCCACCACAGGTATGCACTAGTAGAAAACCAAACTGAGGACCGGGCAGGGATCCTACGGCATCTGACTGTGGATTAGATGGGAAGAGTGACTCAGTCTCCCCAGACTTCTCTCTGTCACTGCAGAGGCAGGAGATGTACCCCACAAGCCTCTTCTGCTTCCCACAATTGACATCTGCCAGAATCTCCCACCTACGTCAACCACCAAGCTTCTTTGAGAGAATGAAGCAGTCTTTCTAGCAGGAAAGGTATGTAAATTATTAAATCATATATTTGAACATGCATGCAAGAGAGATACCCTTCAAAAAACCAAATAAAGGAAAAACTAAAGGCCCTAAACTTTTCCACAACCCTAACAATTTAAATTACATTATGGAGGTCAGAACACTCACTATTTCACTTTCATGGAGGTAAGCCACTGTATTGATTCCTCAGAGACTCTGAAGAAGGGGTCACAACCTCTGTACCAGAGGAAGAGGGAGGATGCCCCTTCCCTTGCAGGCCCTACCCTACCCAATGCCTTCCCAGGATCTAGTCCACCCCTCCTTCAAGATTCAATTTCTCCATGAAGTTGTCTCTGGAAACGCTCCTTTCCCACCTGGGTGGAGTTAGGCAATGGAGAGGAATGTGAACACAGAGCTTAGAATGTGACCCATTCTGTGAGAGCCCCCAGCCCACCTATCCCTCACTGTATGACCTCAGGCACATCCACCTCTGAGTGTGGGACTCCTCAGTGACACAGGTCTGGTGCTCAGCATCTGGCCCACCTCCCTTCTGGTATGCCTTCCTGAACTGCAGGGGTTGGCCAATCTGGCAACGACATTTCCCAGCCTCCCTTGTGGCTGTGGTGTAGGATGTCACGGAGGTTTAGTTGACTGGAGACTCTCAAACTCGATTTAGGAAGGGAAAGTGAGGTACCTGCTCTGCTTCCACTACTCCTGCTCTCTCCCCTGGCAATCACAGAGAGAATTTCTCTTCTTAACCTGTGGTGTTTAGTGACAAGGATCATAATGCCAAGAGGCAGGGCACTGGTGGCTTGTTCCAGAAACAACAGTCCCAGGGGCAGCTTCCTGATTCCTGCCCTTCCTGATGGAGGCAGAAGCAGCATCTCTTTGGGGGCAGGCCAGGCCTACTGTGTGGTTCTGGAGTCACGCCTGGAGACCTAGCCCTCCCAGTGATTTTGCAAGCACTCTACTCCTATGTTAAAACCCTCGCTCTCTTTAAAACAACGGGGCGCCTGGGTGGCTCAGTTGGTTAAGCATCTGCCTTCGGCTCAGGTCATGATCCCAGCGTCCTGGGATCGAGCCCCGCATCGGGCTCCCTGATCAATGGGGAGTCTGCTTCTCCCTCTCCCTCTGCCTGCCTGCCTGTCTGCCGACTTGTGACCTCTCTTTCTCTCTCTCTCTGTCAAATAAATAAATAAATAATCTTTAAAAAAAAAAAACAACAATAGGGTGGTTTCCAGTTTCTGCGACTGAGTCCAGGCTGACACTCTTCTCCATCTTTCAGGGTGAGTGAGACAACTAAAAGACCAAAGGAAGCACAACAGTTGAGAACATAGTCTTGGGCTCACGTGGCCTGGTTTTTAACTCTGGTCCTGTCTCTTACCCACTTTGTAATTACAGGGCAAGTTTCTTAATGTCCAGTTCCCACATGAAGGGGTTATTATGGATTACATGAGTAATACATGTAGAATGCTGGCCACAGTACTTGGTCCCTAGAAGGAATTCAATAAGTGTTTCTTTTTATCCCAAGTTCCCATGGGACCCTCTGTACACTTCTGTGATAGAACTTATCATATTGTATTGATTAGCCCTCTGTGAACACAAACCCAAAGGGACCATCTATAACATGGGAGTAAAGAGCATAGGAATATCCCAAATTCCAATCAAGGAGTAACCTTAAAGAAGGAGAACTGAAAACTACTTCTAACTGATTACCTGGAAACATAATTGTCTATATTGTACTGTGTTATGTGCTGGGTTATGAACAGGTGGCCAGGTGTTTCAGAAGCACAGCAAAGAGCAGGAAGCATCACAATGAGACAGAGTTGTCCAGGCCTGTCCAAGGGCTCTCAAGGGTAGAGGAAATCTTGGCTGAGCAAGTGTAAGGTCATCCTGACTGCGGTGAGAGTCTGTCAAGCATTTTAGCAAAGCAACACTTCTTAAATCCATCATGATGCCATGATCTGGCTTCACATTTTGTTATCTCTACAGAGCCAATGTGTTGGTCAGATCAGTCAACTTGACAGTTTAATTCCTCATTGCAAATTAATAGATTGTCACCCTGATTATTATAATTTTGTTTTCCATGTACTTGCTTACTGGGGGATAATAAGGTACTGATTTTCTGATTTGAGCTTTCCGTTCGGTTTTAGAGATGTAGCTCTCATTGTATTTTAATGGGCTCTAATTGGATTTGTATTAATAGATAGCAGTCATAATGAGCTTGGGCAATACGAGTCCACCTCTGAGAGACAATCCCTTTGCAATGCACCATCACAATCAGGTTTATGAGCCCACTGGGCTGACAGCCAGGCTCCCGAGCATGGCAAATTCACCAACGTAAAGGCCACCTGCTTCCAGTGCCCTGTGTAGTCAGCCATAATCTTCAAGTGTGAGCATCCAAACTGGATGCAATGATCTACTTTCTTGCCTGAGCTCCTGGTGCACAATGACCATGCATTAGTCAGATTTTACTTCCGAATGCCCAACTGAGCACCAGGCACATACATAGTTGATATGTAATAAATATTTGATTCACGAATCCATAAACAAATGAATGTGTCTTTCTGCAGAGGAGTTTTTTGTTATTGTTGTTTTTTTTAACCATAGAAACCAAGAGAAAAAGAAAACAGTTCCAGAGGGACTCCAAGAAAAGGAGAATCAGGAGCTTAAATATTCTATGGTGATTCTTTGAAAATACTCAAAGCTTAGCTATTGGTATTCCAACATTTTTGCATAGCTTTTTTGTTTTCATTTTTGAAGATTTATTTATTTATTTTAGAGAGAGAAAAAGAGCGTGTGCATGCGCAGGTGGGGGAGGGGGAGAGAGAGAGTCTTACGCTGCTATGCATTGAGTGTGAAGCCTGATGTGGGGCTTGAGCTCACCACCCTGAGATCATAACCTGAGCCAAAACCAAGAGCAGGACGCTCTACTGTCTGCGCCACCCAGCTCCCCTGGATAGCTTTTTATACAATGTTGTTATCATGGGTGCCTTACTTCTTTATTGCTGTCTAACAAATTGCCACAAATTCTGAAACTTAAAACAGCATCCAATTACTGTCTTGCAATTTCTGTAGGTCAAAAGTCTGAGTACAGCATGACTCTGCTTGGGCAATCATGTTATTACGTGACAACTAATTCACCTTTGGGAGGCACTAAAGATTAAAGTAGCGTTCCAGAAGCCAGAAGCGTTCCGGATTATTCTGGAACTAGAAAACCAGATGTTATCTGATGCTATTTCAGACGGGGTTCTTTGAAAGAGGTCTTGACATAAGTTTGGTCACTTTACTCAGAAAAATACCATGTTGCTGTAGTCCTCCCAGCAAATGCTCAGGCTTAGAGAAGATTTTGTGGGGAAAAGTCTATGGCACCAGAAATGTATAAAACTAGAGCTTGGAATCCATGCTCCAGGCTTCTGCTCCGGCCTCTTAACAACAGAAATGCTGACCTCAAAATTCCAGAGTCAATCTCTTCGATTTGCCCACTTACAATTGAAACAACTGACTGGCCAAATGATGACAGTGTCAATTCTGGGAAGGCAAGCCTCCATCTTCTTTATCTCTGTTCAACGTGCCGAGCATGGGGCCTGTCCTACATTTAGCACACCATGTGTTTGATACATTTGAGAGTTTTATTTTTTTTTAAAGATTTTATTTATTTATTTGACAGAGACACAGCGAGAGAGGGAACACAAGCAGGGGGAGTGGGAGAGGGAGAAGCAGGCTTCCCACGGAGCAGGGAGCCCAATGTGGGGCTCGATCCCAGGACCCTGGGATCATGACCTGAACCAAAGGCAGACGCTTAATGACTGAGCCACCCAGGCGCCCCACATTTGAGAGTTTTAGATAAAGCTAAACACAGCAGCAAAATACACAGCTGGATCTTAAAAAATGATCAATCCTTAGAAGACTTCACTGGTTCATAAATTTGGTTGCAAAGAATGATAGAAAAAAATGTAAAGCAATTTCTTTTGTTTCTTTTCCTTCTCCTCTTCCTTCCTCTTCTTGCTTTAAGGAATACTCACTTAAAATTGGAAAAGGTTATTATTTTATTTGTTGGCAAAGATGTAAAACAGAAATATCCCCTTGGTAGTTAAAAAATGGTGGACGGGGGGGCGGGGCGCCTGGGTGGCTCAGTAGGTTAAGTGTCTTAAGTGTCTGACTCTTGATTTCAACTCAGGTCATGAACTCAGGGTTGTGAGATCGAATCCCAATTCAGGCTCTGTGCTGGGCATGGAGCCTGCTTGAGATTCTCTCTTTCCCTCTCCCTCTGCTCCTCCCTGCCTCT